TCAAGAAACAGCCACAAAGAGATGCAAGGTTAACTTTCTGTGAGAAACAACCAAACAGAAGACTATGTCTTTCTACTAACAATATTCTATAATATGTACATGAAAATCTATAAATATGTGTTGATTTCATTATTAAACTATCTGTTTCCTGGCCCTTGTCTTCTGTTGTTACACCATATCAGTTAAACCGACAGTAGGCAGGCTTAATCCAGCTTGATAAAATTGAATCGTTAAGCTGGGACAGAACATTTATTCCAATGCAGTTGAACAACCTACAAGCTCGACCTTAAGCAACCAACATAAGAGGTTATTTGTAAGCTTAACTTTCTGAGGTGCGTAATACTTGCATATCATGGATTTTTGTAAGATAAAATCGAGTATTTCTTACCGACAAGGACTAGTATTTCTTATCCTATCACTTTCGCGGGTTTAACGGTGTGTGTGAATTAACTGTTAATCATTAAATGGTCTTCAGTCAAGTTGGTTAGTGCCTCAATGTATCGAATCCACCAGTCAGTAGTATTAATCCATCATCAGCTGATGTAGCAATAAGTTTGTAACTGTTTCCGTCTACGCGACGTTCACCGCAGAAGCTCTTTGCTCACTAGCTAAATTAGCATGAGTAAATTCCTGTTGATCAAATGTCAAACAACAATTACTAAACTGAAGGCCCTCTAGCAATTTACACAGAATTAGATCCCAGTATTATGTTATAAAACCAGTTTTATTTGACTATTTGATTGATTATTTGACCGATCAATCAATTTAATACACCACCATCCTATTTCTCTCATCCTCTCGTTTGCTGCTTATGATACCAAGCATATTATAGTGTGCGATCTGAATATTTTTTTAGGGTCCAGAGGAAACTGCGATGAAATCTCTCCACGAACTGTGACGACGGCAATTGTTGTGACTGAAAAACTGGGTAATTCATCATATTAACCTTTGGTGGGTATTTGGTTATACAGAGGTGCAAGGGACTGCGAAAGCAAATTATAAAAAAATTAACTCAAACAAATAGTGTAGACATTCTTATAGACGTTATTACACTTTAGGACAACAGAAACAAAGCTTGATGAAAATACTACTTTTTATTTTGTCAGTAGCATAAATCTATTTCTGAAATTTCACTTCGTCAAAATAATACTGTCTGCCAGTTCACTTGCTCCTGTGCAACCAATTTTATCTCCCGTTCAGTGTCACCGTTTAAAAGAGTTCGAAAACACTATTCTACATAATTTTACGAAGGTAGTAGTAGATTTATAACGACTTCCTTATATGAACATTTTAAAAATCGATCATTCAGTTTCAAGAGCTTCGTCTGACATACTAATTTATTTATTGAATACATATCACACAATGAGACAGTATTATTTACTGGATTTTTCAGACAAAATGTACTGTTCATAATCACAGTTATGTAAATTAAGAATTAATCTGTCAAGGAGAATTAGTATCCTCCTCCCTTATACTGCTAATGCTCTAGGCATACAGAGAGAATAGCTAAGGATTGAAATACATTAAAAGCTTGTGAGATAGCTAGTTTTTTCATAATCCTGACTTCCTGCAGATTCCCTGCAATCATCTAATAACAATAATCTGGTTGCTTTACACAATTCTTCTTTCGAACCTCATCAACTTTGCTCAACGTTTAGTTCGTCCTGACTAATATCTGTTTCAACAAATATAAATGTTATACTGAATAGGTTAATTTCCCTTATTAACTAGAATTAATCAGGGACTTACTTCTTATAAGGGAATAGAGTCATCAATTTAGAGTATTCAGATGATTTAATCACTCTGCTTGAAGAAATTGACAAAATTCAAGGTTTTTTGAGTACCTCGAGTAGATATCTTAGAGTCTCGTACGCGATTCACCTATGTCAAATCCAAGACTATACTGCTAGACGTTTCTGCGCCTAATACTAGTTAAAAGACAAAATGAAGCAGTTAGGCCTGTTGGCCACTTCCCTTATTTGGGAAGTTTTATTAGCCCTAATAGACTGAATACTGACGGATTCTCAGCATAGATACAAAAGGTTCATGTAGTATTTGTCAACTGGCGTCATCTCTGGTACAGACATGATATCTGACTATCTTTTAAGATATAAGTGTGCTGCAGTTCGCTCTGTCCTTCTTTATTGCTATGGGACATATACAATGAAAGTGGGAGACTTGAAGAGTCCAGCTGCCTTTGACCACATATATTTGCTTTCTATCCTCCGTGTTTGGGGTATAATATGGTGAGGAGTATTTACGTTAGACGTAGAGTGTTAGATAAGGAGGGGAAGTTAGTTGATGAATTTGTGGATCTCTATAAACTTAAATGGTTGGGACACGTGTTACATATGACAAGCCATTCCCTTCCTCAACGAGTAATGATTACTGACATGGAATTAGGTTGGTAAAGAGTTTGAGGCGGTGAGATCAAAACATGGCACCAACACACGAAATCTTCAACTGTTGGTATAAATCATACAAGGAGTTGTAAACTGTTTGGCAAAGGTGCTCGAAAAGCCCTGTTGGTGACATCTCAAAGTAGTTCCCAATAAAGTGGATGCATTTACTCCTTTTGAATTCTCAAGTCCATTAGATCTTCGTTATTCTCTAAGTAATTATTACATTTCGTTTACTATAGTTTCTTTTCATTTTTCTCTACCTGCATGTGTGATTTAATGAAGGGTAACGGCTTGAATTACTGCTCTTTTGTGCGGTTTGACTATCAAAATTCCTTTGAGTATGAAAGTTATACTCTAATTTAGGAACATGGGGAATTGAATTTTAATCTGATTGCCGAACTGTATATCAAAAGACCAAATCGTTGTTATATTCTTGAGTCATAGTGACCGTTTGATTGTTACTAAGGTGAGTAATTATATAATCACATTAATATAAGAATAAAACGATGAACAGGATATCCATTGAAAATAGTAAAAAAACACTGTATGTCGAAGGATATTTTATTGAGATTGTTTTGCGAATAAGATTTTGAAGCAAGCTGTACATTCTGTATGTATTGATGGTCTATCGTGCGCTATAGTGAGTAGCAACTGGGAAAAAGCTAATACGATAGGAGAATTGACAAGCAATTTTACCGGTGAACAATTAGATCGCATATCCAACCTTACAAAGCTAATTGTGAAACGTATTCGTTGGTTAAAATTATCTAGACAACGCTCCTACTGGAATCATGTAATATGAGACAGAAGGCAGAGATCAAGCCTACTGAATAGTTGAACGCATTCAGATAATCGCAGATAAAGGCAAAAATCCCACCTCTAATGAAATTTTAAAAATGATTATGAACAAGCAGTATTATGATAACATAGAAGTGAATAATGTTACTCCATACAACTCTAGAATTAACTATGGGATCATGGATATCACCTAAGAAATCTTCATCTCTCAAATGACTAAACTCAAGTGTCTTGTCTGCTTTGAAAAGTTCGACACCAACGAAATGAGTTTTTACTAGGCCTACACAAATTTTCGTTCAGTTAGACAGAATGGAACCAAATAGAATACTTGAAAATATTGTTTTGTCAACTTATTAAACACTCCACTGAGTTGTCTGTGCTCTATTATGTACTAAGAAGTACTGGTGTAACAACAGAAGACAAGGGCCAGGCAACAGATCGTTTTATTATGAAAATCAACACGTATTTATACATCTTTCAACTACATTATTATAGACAAGCGCAGTCATCTGATTGGTTGTTTAGGTAGACAAACGCAGGCTTCTGATTGGTTGTTTCGGGATTCCTTGACAAATAGAGTTCTCTCTGCGAATCATATTTTGCCACGTTAACTTTGCTGTGATTGGTTGTTGACTCAGGCTTGTTCATATTTTCTCACGGCCCATATTAGTGACCTAGACCTTAACGTAGATTAGTGCCAACCAATCGGCTAGCAGCCTGCTCTCACCACACTGGAATTAAACCCTTGATATATTTGAAACTTATTATGTTGTGCAGAGTAATATTTCTGTCAACGATTTCTACATTAACATATGAAATTTTTAGCGTTTTGATATAATATACTATAATAATACTTATTTCCACCTGTCGTGTGTTGAAGTTAGTCGTGGAAACCGAGATAACAAAAGAAGCGTAACGGTGACTAACTCCATAAATTTATCAGCAGTCAGTGCTAACCGTCAGTGTGTAAGTAGAATGATCAAGCTGAAGCTATACAATCAAGCACCGGCACTATTTTGTACACTGTTGTACTATGCTCGGTTATTCCTGAGGAAATTGAGGCTTAGCAATACTAATTCCATAAAATATTTCGTATTTTGAACTATTGAGTGGTTATTTTGATTTGACTTACTCTATTTCGGTCTGTCATATAAGTACATGTGGGTTAGAAGATAGTACACGCGTACTATAGTATAATCGCACCATAAAACTTCTTCTTACACAGAGTTTGTGCTGCGATGAGGAACCTGACTACCATACATGTTTACCTAGCTATTTGGTAATCTACGTGAGCTGCTGAAAATTCCATTCTGTATAACTATTATTGTTCGGAATAAAGTGATTATTATTATTGATCCTGAAGAGAGAACATCTCTCAGATCGTCAGCACCTGCTAAACTGCTTCGTGATAACGAGTTGAGAAACAGTTCTGCAGTGGATATGCTTACATGAATGTGCCAACATATCAGGCTGAGAAAGTTTGTTGAGCGTCATTCTAGAGAACTGTCTTCATCTAAGTTACCATAGCCAGTGTAAACTGCGTTTGTAACACTGCAAGCGGTTTTGAGAGATGACTTGACTATATTGGTTGACTGAATACTAAACGCACCCAGGCGACCCGTTAATCATATATTTCCAGTCTCTAAAAGATCCACCATTGCTGAGTTTAGAGTGGTAATTGCATGACTCTGTTAGATAATTCCTTAGATGGATCAGCCCCGGCAATCGTCACAACTGTCGTCCAAACTCACCTCAAAGTAACGACTCTCATGGTCGTTATAAAACCAAACTACATGAGTGCTGGTACCATAACGCTTATGTCCAGGAAGTAAACCTTAACGGCAAACATTTCACGTTTAATGAAAACATCAAGAATTCAGGAAATTATATCCCTTACTGGCTTTATCACTAACCATACCAAGTGGTGGTAGCCACTTACTTTACGTAGTAGAGGAAATTACTATCGACCCAATATGGGACTCATACTCACAAAATGAGGAAGTGAATGATGACGATTTTGAACTTTGAAGACCACTCTGTTCGCACTGGGTATAAATCGAGTGAAAATTATAACAGTGGGCCGTTTCAATAGTAATAATAATGAATTTGTTAATAATCTCAATTTCATAGATAATTTAGAAATAAGTACGAATAATCTCCATGAAATACACTAATTGAGAAACAGTCTGAAGATGAGAAACTTTCAAAAGACTCAGACTTTTATAAGAGCATGAGAGGGCGTTTGAATTTTGGTGGGTGTGGTGACCGATAATTTTTAGTATTTTGTTGTGTGTAAATGTCAATTGTTGCTTGTTTCTATTTATTTTGAATGCAAAACATAAATAATACCTCCGAATACGAATTGCTAGCTTTCTGTTTTATTCGTTTTGTCATCTAGTTAACTGGTATCCGGTCACTGTAGACTTAGATTACGCATACATTATACACTAGCCTCTAAACGCTATCGTAATATAAACCTGAAATTTTACCACCGAAGGCCAACAGAGCCTTCAATGTTAGTCAAGGAAGTAAAAGAACATGCATCTACAGAATATAAGCAAAATTTACAATTACAAGGAAAATGTCAACAAAAATACTAGAAATAAATCCATTATACACAACTTTAACTCTTTTAGGAGTAAAATGCTTTATATCAGTACATTTCTCCACAGCCAAATGTATGATAAAACAGGATTAGATTTCTTTTTAAGGGATCAACGATTGCGTAGGCGAATGTATTCAGGTGTTCTTTATCTGAAGGAAATACCAAGTTTTGACCATCCTAGGTTAAAGTTTAAAAATAAGATTTCAAAAGGTGGAATTAGATGGGCTGGTGAAAGCTCATATAAAGTATTACTGTTATCTTATTATAATAACGTGGCAAATGTTAATATTTTTTTTATTTTTGATTACACCTTGATTCCACACCGTATTTTTGATACAAGTATGGAATTTTCAGCGTGGATATCGGTAGCCCAAATTTCGCAGGCCGACCATAGATATCAAGTGTGCGTCGGCGTGGGCTCGAACCCCGGACCATGTGCATGGTCGGCGAGAGTCCTAACCACTGTGCTACTGACGCACACAATATGCTAGTACCTCAAACACTGACAAGAAATGCAGTCAATTGCGAAAATCCTCAAAAACCATTCGGATACTCCTTTGTGGATTGAGGTGAATTTTCAAGTTGCTATTTAAGAATTCGCATTGATTCACTTTATTTTTTAAGATAGTTAAGTAGTTCTTTTCATACTTATCTCATGTGGTTTTCAAGCTACTTTTTGTGTGAAATTGAAAAAATAATTTAATATCGAGCACAAAACTAATGTTTACGTTGGTGAAATATTTTACTGTACTAAGACAGGATTCAGATTAGCGAGATAAAGGGCAACTGAAACATGAAGTAAAATATATTGAAACACTGAAATACATCTGGAGTTAGTATATGAGAATCGATATAATGAGCACAAACTGATTGGTTTAAGTTGGATGAAGAGCCAATAGACCTTAACAGTTCAAAAGACAAGTGTCCAAAGTTTTGCTTTCTTCAAAATCCGTTTAGGAAAATCACTAGAATACTAGGCATTCCATGCTAGTCTAGAACTTGTAGCAGGACTGAAAAAGTTTTTTATTTTAATGTGACAAAGATTAACTGTTTGCATAACTACACATATTCATATGTACCTTCTAATTGCACAAGATGAAATTAGATTGAGAAGTGTTTCATACTACGAACCTGAAAATCATACAGTTTTCTACTAAAAGAGATTATAATGGCTTCCTGAAAAAAATTTTCGAGAGAAGAATAGAAATCTAATAATAATACACAGGTGCGAGTTCAGGATCTCCTGAAGCTCATCTAGCCTTTGGGTAATGAGTATGGGAATATTCATTTCCACCAATTTCTTACAGGCCTCTCCGGATTCCTAAATCAGCAATCCTACCGTTTACACAGAGTGCAGTTTCAGAACTATATATCATGGATTAAAATTTTCAAAAACTGGTGTGGTATAAGTGGTAAAATTTCTCTGGATACATTATCTACTTACATTCGCCTGGATTTCGTATACATGGGATATAATTTCAATCATTTTCGATACTGGGTTTTTCTGAACACTAGCATAAGCAAGTAAACAAAATTATGGCTGCGTACCTTATCAAATCTCTGTAAATTTTACGTGTTATATCGATATATGGCTTTATCTCATCCTCTTGTTGACAGACCTCACCTCCAACACATATGTGCTTGAACAAACGAAACAAAAACTCATCCCTCTCTTTTTCTGTAAACAGGCAATAATCTGGTGAGTCTTCGAGCAGCAGACACTAAGACTGTAAAATATATGGAGTATTTTTACTTCTCTTAACTTATCAGAAATAAGGATTGTTTCAAAAATTTCATCCATACATTTTTTAATCTTCCCAGATTCATAGGTAAGACTCGAAAGCTTATGAAATATATCCATATTCGTTAAAGTACACCTGACACTCTTTATATTTACATTGCTACAGAATTTTAATGCGTTAATCCGAAATCATAAAAAGTTAATTACATAGAAGCTGGAGGAATCGACAATACTTGTTGCACCATGGAGGTATTGAGAAACTTCTGTGATATAAATGATAAAGAACACTGTTTCTACACTCACTGTAAAGAATGAATCGGCCCTATAGGGCGCAAACATGTGGTCAAAAGTGAATGTTACTGCTTTAAGTCTACCCTTCATAGACCTGTGGTTGAATAATAAACACTTCAAACTCAATTTGCCATTTCAGTAAAAAACTTTTGGTTTCCTTGTCAGACAGTGACGGGTATTCCCTTTCAAGAATAAGTATGAATTCTTCCCGGTCTTCTTCCATTGGCAACGATAATTTGAATTTGCGGGGTTACATAACCCATAACATTCAGTTAGAAAAAACACTAAAAGTAATTTTTTTAATTTTGACTACAGCTTGATTCCACACTGAATTTTTGGTAAAAGTATGGAATTTTCAGCATGGATACCGGCAGCCCAAATTCCGGAGGCCGACCATAGATATTAGGTGTGCATCGGCAGGGAATCGAACCTCGGACCATGTGCATGGTCGACGAAAGTCCTAACCACTGTTCCACCGACGCAGTATCGTTAAGACGGGCTGATAAAAATCATTTAACTTCAAGGACCTCTCTTGTTGTTTTCAGACTAATCGAGATCCTGGAGTGCTACCTGTACAAAGAACAATTCGTCCCTCAGGAACGCTGCAAGAGGAGGGAATGTATTGTTGGTACCAGGGCAGTAGTGCTCCTCGGAATCACGCGTTTCATGACGTTCTACCAAATAGGCCAAAACCTTTTAGAAAGGAGGTTATGAAGTAGCAGAATTGGAATCGAGAGTACGAGTAACCAGAATAAACAAAAGATAGAGAAAGATGACTTAGTATAAGAAAAGTAGGACAAATAAAACACAAATGAAAATAAATGAAAAAGCGAGCAAGTCATGGCAAGGCAGGAGAACAATAACCAAAGATAGGTGGGGAACTGCATAGACTGAAAGGTCAGACGTTTGTTGGACAAGTACAGCCCCACTACAATTAGACTGCTGGATGTACTCAGACCTTTATTTGGTTCACATTAGTCGGAGCTACACTAAAAACTACCGCTTATTAATTCTGCCCTCTGATGAGAAGCCATTTTCATTGTCACAATGAGAGATATTGATGTGCTGTTCCAATATTACGCCTTATTCCGGGTGGTTTAGGTTGTGTACTATTCGGTACGCTCGAATAAATTCGCACTTATTTCTGCGGTAGCAGCTTTAGGCATATCCCGCCCTCAGAGTCAGTCATTGTGCGGCCAGTACTTCAGATTACTGATGCTTTCAGTTTCGCTCCTGTGAATATTCCCTGAAGAACTGATTTCTATTTTTGGGAGTGGTTACGCAATACAGTTTCACTTCCAAGTACTTCTATACACAGGTTTGTAAAGCGGCATATAGTCCTCAGACGCAAAGTAAAGGACTTTTTCTACATCCGCTGCTTAGTTAGCACCTAAACCCACCTCCTCACAACTGCTGAAGAACCACGCTCCGTCTCTGTATGGCAGGTACTGACTCCTCATAAGCAGTATGAACAGCACATGAACTAGAGTATTCCGGTTCCAATATGGTATGCAGTTGTTAGAAGCTGCTAGCAATTTTTCAGTGGGGCGTAATCCTCTATGAACCCGTGCTAAGCTTCATGCAGAATAATATCTTTTCAGATGTAGACAGTAGTTCTACACATTGGTAGCATCTGGGGTTTCGTCATCCTCAATCCCTAACCATGAGAGGAGAAGTAGCCTACTATCACTCCTTCGGTATCACTTATTTGGAGCTGAAACAGCTTGCTTGCGGGCAAAGAACACCATCAAATGGATTAAGAACTGTGAGTCTGAAGTTTGCACATCTAGGGGATCTTTTAGACGACGCTTTGCCAACTACTTTAGAACCAAGCAAGCAGAAGCAGCAACGTCGTCTAGAATCTCCCCCAATCTACACGCACCGACATTATACCAAATCATATGAATATTAGTGATGATAACGACAGTCCTAGTCTTTGTTAGATTTCTTACCATTTCCCTTGAAAAGCCTCGGTAGTTCCTGAGGGGAGTGGCATGTGAGTCAAATTTCAGACATTGTTGTGAACTTGGCGTCCTTCTGATGGAAGTTAGTCATTTTTAACATCGAAGAGTCTGAAGCATTAATTATGACAACAATAGCAGCGGTACTGAACTGATTTGAAAGGGGAAAAAGTTATACAAACAAGTAAAAATACGTAAACGAACAACCGTAGTGATCGGGGGAGTTAAGCAGAAAATACTATTAGGATATCAGGGAATTTATGGATCGATTTTACTTGAAGCCTCCTATTACGGTTCGTTATATTTGGCTGCATTGACAGTCGGTTCTACATGACCTCTGTTGCCGCATGATTATCAATCCACCACCTCTTGAGTGAACGGTAAAGCATTGGTAATGTGTGCCTTCAGGTACAGTCGAGAGTATGTTTCATGGAGTTTCAGGAGGGCTAGAATAGGCACATTCGTCTGTTTAGCCATGCAGCATTGGACACCCTAGATACATGCATAACGCAATTCGTGTTTGTAACTTGATTCCGTTACAAAGAAACATGGGTTGGGTAGAACAAGCTATAACGGTGAACAAAGCAAGTTTTCCCTCACAAAGCTGGAGTGTGTACTCGGAAGAATTCACAGTCTTTAAGAATGAAAAACATTATGCTGACCTAACCAAATCTTCCAAATTCCTAATTCTGACTGTGACTTGCTCCAGTCGTCCACAGATTTTACCGCATCTTAGGATCGTGCACTGGAGACTTGGGGAAGAGATAGGTAGCTCATAAACCCCTAAAAATAATTAGTGAATATCATAAGTATTAAGGGTCTTACAGCAGATGGTTTGAAACGAGATCAGCTGGTGAAAATTCAGTTTCATCCAAGCAATTCGTAACCATGAGAAGAGTGGACCACCTTTAATAACCTAGCCGAAATTTTCAAGGAGAACGGTGTAAAACACTCCCGCAAAATTAAAGAATACCTAGTGAACTGAGACGTGTATGTCACAGCTTGACTCACAGCCGTTTTGCGATCATAGTTAATCTGCTATACACGATTTACATCCGCTCAGCATGTGTTATGACCCGACGAGCGAGACTACTTTTAAGTGATCATCAAGGGAGTTGACCAGGGCCTTTGATAGCATTAAAGCAGCGTAAAACATGCCTTTCTCCTTGGTCCCTGCCCTCGAACCTTCGGAAGATAACAGTTCTTTACTGCTTCAGTGAGTGTTTCTTTAAGTCCAGGGACCGTCACAATAAGTCACGATATGGGACACATTTCAGTGCTTCAAAACAAATATCTGAACGCCATATTATGGTTCGAATTAATTCTGAGTTCGTTAGTAACGGAACTAACATTCTTTCTTCTGGTGACTCGGTGGAGTATTTATTTATCTTCATTTACAACCGTTTACTTTGGTTGCCTATCACAGGCTGAATTGAAAGTTTCGGCTGTTTCTATAGACGTCTGGACCTAGTAGGATACATGCCCATGGACTGTTGATTTCTTTCTGTTATAAATCAACATAAACTAAAGGGTTTGTTGGAGGTTTCTTGGGAAGTTATTAGCGAAACGAAATACTGTCACTGAGGGCGTCTACATTTGACCGATATCTACCCTTACTTAAGTATAAGGATTGATATACTCCAGAAAAACCAGCTGTTTATTTCTGAATTTTCGTCCAACCTTCAGCAGTTGGTAAATGCCTTCCATCAATGTGGATGGATGTTCCTTCAGGAACTCAATCATTACAGTGACGCTGCTTGGAACTGATGAGTTGATGATCCCCTTCAACAGTGCCAACTGTTTTTCAAATAACGAGTGTCTAACCTTTAAATAATGTAACACAAGAAAAAAACATGTCATTATCGGTTAATCCGCACTAGTACAATACGTGAACGAGAATCCTCCGAATCCACTTGTCCATATGATTCTAGATGGTGGATAACATCCACTAGGTTCATGATGAGGCAAGTTTTGCAGAAAGGGTATTTGAAGATCCGTTATGAGCACTTTCTCTGGCAGTACCGGTACTGACTTGAATATTTTCTCTGGCCTGTGTTTTTATTTTAACATCAGGCTTTCTTCTTTTGGATGCACAGATTAGACTTCTTGATCTGGATCCCAACAGCCCTAGCTTTTAGGATCCAGTCAGCAGCTCTCAACGTAGTCCACATTGGGACGCCAATTCTGTACACAATAGCTATTAATTCACAACTGTTGAATTCGCACCGTTGGCGAGCTTTTTAGTTTGGCATGCACAATAATATTATCATAACATAGATGTTTATGAAAACACTAATTTACAGTCTTTCACACTGAAAGTAAATTCCAAAGTACATAAAATTAAAGTCATCTGTTATATCCAATGTTGCGTCAAGTGTACATGGAGTGTAGAGTGTACGTAACGAATAGCGAGTGTGGTAAGATACTGATCAAAAATCGCCTTTAAAAATTGTGACACCACATCTCTTTTTCGATGCTCTCTAGTTTTCCCCATTCGACCCTGCAAGATCAGTTCACATATATTCAAGGTTGCCTTAATGTTCTATTAGTCTAAACGAATGTCTGGAAACCGCCATTCAGTACTTACGAGCGTGGGACACCACGTTTCATTAACTCGCGCGTTGGCTGTAGGTTAAATGTAGGTGGCTCTTTTCTCCAAGCCCTAAAATCTATAAAGGACCCATACTTTACTTACTCATATAACAAATGTACAGTGCTCACAATCCATTGTTTCTAAATACCAAAGACTCATAAGACTGTTGCACCAAAAATTTTGCGCAACTGGGACTTAATTCATCCAGTACTAAGCTATGTTTCTTCAATAACTAGAGTATTTCACAGTAATCTTCGATTTAATGCACGGATACTATATGGTTCTTGTCGAAAATATTCGGCCTAGTTTCACACAATAATAGATTTTTCTAGCAAGAGGACTTCCACTCGTGCAAACCTTGATAAGTATTCCAATATTAACTAAGTCACCGTTTTGCCAAAGCATTTTATGAAATTATGTCAGATCATGACGTTAGAGATCATCTGGTGCTTGGTGGTGGTTAACCGCTATTAGATATCACATATTTTAAATGTAAAACATTGTGTTGATTTCACTCGAGTTTTATCGCATAAAGACTTGTCATAGTCAAGTCATTCAAGTTTAAGGTAATAGAATGAGATTTATGTTATTACCATGACTACCATATTGCGAAGTGGCTCTCCATGGAAATCCTCTCCGAAGGTATGCCTGCAGGGTTTCGTATTCAAAGGGATATGCTACAGAGTCTAGGGTCAC